TCTGAGCCTACTACTCACCAATCACCAATTGTTGGTGACGAGTTTTGAACGTATCCGGAGGCCTGCCAAGGTTTTACCGGGACGGGGGCAGCCGCACTATTAGCAACAATCAATTCGAAACTAACGATTTTAAATTTGTTCACTACTTGACTAGCCTATTGGTCCCAAGCAAATCGATTAACATACCCCATTCTAGTCGAAAGTCTAGTACTATCACAAACGAAGTGACAGACGGAGCGGCTCGAAAACTTTGGTGACGCACCTGCTATTGCAATTTTTCAGTGTACCACATGGCAACACCACTACTACTGGATTGTGCCACATGGCAACACTAAATGTCGCCAACAATGTTGCATGCAAGGTAAACAGAATATATAGAAATGTCAAAGTGGTCCGATGCCAGCGCTTCGGTGAGCAGTTCGCGCACATGATAATATTCAAATCAATCGTTAAATGCGTTAAACGCTGATCCATATTGAAGAGTTACGTCTGTTTGTCTGTGATAACGTGTTCCGCCGTCTCTTCGACATCAGCGCACGCGGGGCAGGTGGGAGTACTTGCATGTCCGAACCTATGCAAGTAACTCCTAAAGCAGCCATGGCCTGACAGAAACTGTGTCAGGTGGAAGTTTACTTCCCCATGGCGCCTATTGACCCAGCTTGATACGGAAGGTATCAAACGGCAGGTCCACATCCCCTTTGTGGAGTTTTCCCACTCCGACTGCCACCTCGCAATCGATACCGCGTGCGCGTTGTTGCGCACCCCTCGAACGGTCCTCGTGTCATAGCACTCCACATCCTCCTTAATAATGCGGCCGATTGGCATCATGCCTGCTATGACACAGACGGCTTCCCTCGAGATGGTGCGGTATGCACCCTCAAGCACATTAGCCTATGTGTACTCTCTAATTTCCGCCTGTGGCAGTCAGTATCCAGTACCGCAGCCCACGCAGGGTCTCCGTATCTGAGAATAGATACTACGACCCCGGCGAGGAGCCTGCGCTTACTGGCACTCACCGCCGAGCTGTTTGACATCATGCGGGATAATGCCCTCACAGCCGTAGACGCTCTCTTGCAGCCGTACTTGACGTGGCACTCGTGGCAGCTGAAGCTGAGCTTATCATCGAGCATAACCCGATAACCCCCAAGAGTTTCAGAGAGCGCACAAACCTAATTGTGCTCTCGCCAACGGTCAACGTCGCATGCTGCACCGACATGCGATTGTTGACTACGACCATCTCCGTCTTGTGGTGGGCAAGCTCCAGTTTTCTGGATCTCATCCATTCCTCCACAAGCTTAACGGAGTCAGCCGCTGTCAGCTCTACCTCTTCGAGGGATTCCCCGTAGACTACCAGCGTGACATCGTCGGCAAAACCAACAATGTTCACGCCTACTGGGAATCTTATCCTCAACACTCCATCGTACATGACGTTCCATAACACCGGGCCCAGGATGCATTTTTTGCCATCTTCTGTGTCAAACTTCAACACACGATTCTGGAAGTAGCTTTCGAGAATCTTGTACAGCCCTCCGGGGATTCGGAGTTGGTGTAGCGAGCGGGCTATCACCCCCAGCACGCGCTGTTGAACGCGTTCTTCACGTCTAGAGCTACCACCGCGCAGTAACGAATACCCCTTCATTTCCGATGGACCACCTCTGCCGGCTGGATGACGTCGCGGATGGCTTCCACCGTAGATCTACCTTTGCGGAACCCGTACTGGCTGCTTGACCAGCCGTCTACACCTTCGGTGTAAGCCGACAGCCTGTTGAGGATGATCCTCTCAAGCAGTTTACCAGAGGTGTCCAGCAAACAGATGGGCCTGTATGCTGACGGGTCCCCAGGGAGTTTTCCTGACTTCGGGAGAAGCACCAGCCTCTGCCGCTTCCACGAATCTGGGAAGATGCCTACGTCCAAACAGGTCTGAAATACAGACCTGAACATGTCTGGATTTTCGGCAACGGCCGCCCTCAGAGCCACAACCGGGATCTCAACACCCGGGGCCTTGTCCACCTCCAGCGACTTGACAATGTCGGTCAGTTCACTGTTAGTCACTCTAGACACTTCTCCCTGTTCCGCGACCAGGAGTCAACGTCCCTGCATGGAAACAAGAACTGTACGATCGACGCCAACATCGCCGGCGATCTCTTCTGGTCTTAGAGTTACCTCTATGCTATTAGCCCACTCGCCATTTCAGGAAGGGAGCAGAATAGCACGACTGCCAGCCCTGTAGCGTAATATCCAATCCATTGTGCCGTGTCGTGTCCATAGTTCCATGCCGTGACCAGTATGCCGTAATAAGGATCTTACTGGCGTCGAACCTAATGTGCTGGTTGGCACTCCTGCGGGTTGACGAAGCATTTCCTCTATCGCCGTGCTATGGTTACCGCGCCAGTGCTCGCGTCGCACCCCCTCACTTTACTATTGTCGGATAGTCATTGCCCAGGCTACACCACGGGGAGGTGTGAGGTAGGAACTTGTGAGGACCAGAGCGAGCTTGTCAACTCACCATTTGTAGCCCTGTGTATGTATGTGTGTGTCTCACTCACGGATGTGATTTTCTTCCAACCAGAAGTGGAAATCAGTCATTCCTATAAGAATTACTAGAACTTCATATGATATGCATAGTGCAGTGTTATACATACTTTCATTCTCCAACTCGGCAATCGCACTGATGTTCATAGCAGCTTGAAATTAGCACGGTCGTTGTGATTAATTCATATTTTAGTTCCGTTTACTCAAATTTGCAAAAACACACTCACATAAACAGGATAACTTTTTAACAATTAAAACGCTGGCCAGACTGAGCAGTTATAACATGTTATAACGGTTGTCAAATAATTGCAACACAGAAACCACCATCAAGATAGCGCTATAACATGTTATAACTCTGTAGTCTGAACGTACTATAAGCCTTATAACTTTAGAGACGATTCTTTAGGGAGTACTGCACAAGTAAACCATGTGTCATGCCACTCCGAGCTTTGCTCGGTATCAAAAAAACAAAATGTTGTCTTCAAAATTGTGTACAGTCGTGAAAAACTGAGGGGGGTGACACATCTAAATCTCAAGTTTAGATGCTTAACAAATCTCCAACTAAGAATCAATCTTCGAAAAATCTTCTTTCATTTCTCGCATCTACTTGCATCGCGCGTCATCTTTTTGTAGCATACTTGTCCTCTGTGAGAGACAAGAGCTAACATTCTAATCTTCTCGCTCTGTTCGTTCTAGAAAGAGCACTACATGCACTATATTATTCACTACACCCTTACTGTGTGTGTAGTTTTTGGAATGAACTGTGCGGTGAGATTAGATCACTCTACACTTGTGGGAATTAGTGAGCGACAAAAGAGCTCAAAAACACTCTGCAGTGAACTCACAGAAGCTCACTCCAGAGAACACTGGAGTAGGAGAACTGGTTGGTCCTCTGGATATAGAGAAAGTGCAATTGTGAATGATTTGACGTTCCATTCGATATTGGATTGTTCAAACCTTGTCGTTACCAATTCAATTCATATTTTCGTTATACTTCTGTAAAATGCATCAAACTAGCCTTCATAATTTATTTTTGATACTTAGAAATGATCTAGTCTAGCTGATTGAAGCCAACATGGAACATCTAAGCAACCTATTAATTTTACCATTGATTCAGAAAAGGACTCTAAAGGGCCACCCACATTAGATCCGTTTGCGTTGCGTTGACGTAAATTTGACAGTTAGACAATAGATTTAACTGTCACTTTGCCGCAGCGCGTTAGATTGGGATCTATTGTTCTATATATTGTTGGGATCTATCTTAGCGTTCTATACAAAAGAATTACTATTATTGATATTATTCCTAACATTCGATTTGCGTGCCTCTTCGCTCTCAGTATAGTAGCGGCCTAAACAAATCAAGCGTAACTGTTCAAATCGACATATCTGCTTTTATAAACAATCTCTTCAATTGACGATTTGTCTTAACTGCTAACTCACCCACGCAAACAAACACCATTATCAGGTAGGGGAAACTTTCGCTTGCTAGCTGGTGTGAGTGAGTTTGCAGTTGCCAAAAATCGTCGATTGTAGAGATTGTTTACAAAATAAGATACGTCGACTTGAATAGTTATGCTTAAAATACCTAAACTCCCATAGAACCAGAACGTCAAAATCGAACAGATGTTGGATTCTATCTGTGTGGCTGTGTTTCATTTGGTGAATTTTAAATTAAATTTTACATATAGAAACATTTAAAATAAACTTGCTATGGTACCGTTTGTATTTTTTTTTTTGTAACTCAAAGTGGGTCTAAATTATTAAGTGTAATTTATGACCGACTGCACAATATTTTGTAAAAATAATATTTGGCAAAACAAAATGGTTTAGTTCCATAAGTCAATTGCAACAATGACGAAATATCCTTGCATATTCCATTGATTTCAAATTTGAGACTGTACAACATTTTTTTAGACAGCATACTGTTCTTATTACAGTTACTAGAGATAAAGCACCTCTCAGAACTTCATAAAAAATACATTTGTACGTTGCGGACTAAACTATCTTCACTGAAAATTTAAAATAATTTGTTATAATAGTTTTTAATTCATATTTGAGTAAATATTTACTCTATCTATGATTAAAGAACACAAAAAAGAGTTGGATTCAACGGCCGTGCGTTCCATGTGGTTTGAGCCTTGGATGAATTTGCCTAGTGATGTCTTGAATTTTGTATTTATAACAGTTGAAAATAAAAATAAAATATATTTCTAATTAGACTCTGTTAGACAATGTTGAACTAAGGTTTATTTTCTAGTTCCAATTAATTTCCAGCATAAATATGCCCAATCTTCAGATCTTTATCGACCGTCCCAAATTGATCGAATTTACCAATATATTTTAGAATCACCCCCACAAATCCTCATCCACCAACTCAAGCCCACTTTTCCTTCCAACCACCATGTCCCAAACTGTTCTAAAATCCAGCAACCACCGCACAGCAAGGGGATAGGTTATTATGTCAATAATCAAAACCTTGAACCGTCAGTCTCTTGCTGGTATCGCCTCGCCAAGGTCGGTTTCCGTGTTAGTTCTGCGAGAACTAAATAAGCCTACTTGGATTGGTGCTGCTGTTGCCTCTGGTTACAAACACTTCAGCCGAGGAACGACGATGGATGACATCAGCAACGTATACTACGGGCCACTGCCAGCGGATTCTCCGTACGTGAAACCGTTCCGCTTTCACTTCACCCAGAATGGGAAGCAAAAGTCCTGGGATCTGCTGAAGGTGCACGATTCGGTTTCGGTCGTCATCTGGAATGTCACCCGTCAAAAGCTGGTGCTGGTGAAGCAGTTCCGTCCAGGTTTGTTGATGATTGATTTACCAAGTGCCTTAATTCGATTAAATGATTTTATTATTTGTCGCTTTGCAAGCCGTCTATCATGGGTTGGTCAGTGCGGAGGCCGGAGCGGATGGGCGAAGTATTGACATGAAGAAGTATCCTCCCAGTTTGGCTGTGACGTTGGAGCTGTGTGCCGGGATTGTGGATAAGCCAATTTCGCTGGCAGAAATTGCGAGGGAGGAAGTGCTGGAAGAGTGTGGATATGATGTGCCAGTCGATAGGCTTGAGGAGATTATAAGCTATAGGTCTGGCGTTGGAACGTCCGGGTCGCTGCAGGTGATGTTCTATGTGGAAGTTACTGACGACGATAAAATAAGCACAGCTGGTGGAGGAGTCGGCGATGAGATCATCGAAGTTGTTGAGTACAGCGTGGAAGATGCTTGGAAGCTCATGGAAAAGGGAAGCGTGCTAACTAGTCCACCTGCATTCCTCTTCGGAGTTCTTTGGTTCCTGACCAATCGAACGCCGAAGGTTACAAAGGCCTAGAGATCCAGTGATTCATCCTAATTCGTTTTAGATTTTTGATTTGTTATCTAATTGTTTGACGAATAATAATAAAAAAAAAAAAGATTCTCAAAGAATGTATGCAAAATATATTTTTCATGAATCGTTCGAGCATGAGTCACAGATTGTTACCAATGGTTTACAATGCTCCTTTGGCCAGGGCCATGTGGCGGGAAGAGATCTCTCGTAGCAGAAGCTGTACTGATGGGACTTGACAAACGCCAGTTTGTCCTTCGGTTCTGGATATCGGGATGCTATTCCTAAAAATCATCATATCAGTAAACTGACAATTAAGACCATTTACTTTGAAGTCAAACCTTTTTTGTACGCATACTCAATCACTTCAAGAGCAATATCCATCGAACATTGCTTGATGCTACTCAGCGGAGGGTACAGCAATCCCTTGGACAGATCTTCGTCTGAAACTTTTCCCGCGACGACTTTTGCTGCAGCGAGAAAAATGTCATCCGAGATGTGATGAATTCCGGAGGCGATCACTCCTAGGGCTACTCCCGGAAAGATGTATGCATTGTTTCCTTGACCAGTAAAAAATGTTTTCCCGTGAAACTGCACTGCAGGGAATGGCGATCCAGAAGCAAAAAGACACCGACCTTCCGTATGATCGTACGCTTGCTGAGCTGTACATTCCGCAACTGTTGTCGGATTGGAAAGGGCAAATATGATCGGATGATCGTTAGTTTCGGCCATGCATCTAAGCACTTCTTGATTGAAAGCTCCTACTGCAGCCGAAGCACCAATGAGCGTTGACGGTTTAACTTCCTTGACAACCTCTACAAAGTTGTCTGTTGGACAGTGATCTCTTGCGTAACAAGCTTTATGGCCTTCGAGATCTGCTTCCGGTCTGCTTTTCACCAACAATCCATGCTTGTCGAACATCCACATTCGGTCGCGGGCTTCCTCCGAAGAAATACCTTCATCTTCCATCGCTTGTACCAGCAGATCAGCGATTCCAACCGCTGCTTCCCCTGCTCCAAAAAATAAAAATCTATGCTCGGAGATCTTCTTCTGAACGACTTTCTGCGCCGCCATCAGTCCTGCCACCACAATTGACGCCGTCCCTTGAATATCGTCGTTGAACGTACAGTACATGTCCCTGTATTTATCCAAAAATTTGAACGCATTCTTATTCCCAAAATCCTCAAACTGAACCAACGTATTCTGTCCGTATCGCTTCACTACCGCTGCCATGAACTCATCGATTAACTCGTCATACTCTTCACCCCTCACCCTCCTCTGTCTCAAACCAATATATAAAGGATCATTCAAAAACTCTTCGTTATTCGTCCCCACGTCGATCATCACCGGCAAACACTGGTGAGGCTGAACCCCGGCCAGCGCCGTATAAAGTGCCAACTTTCCCACGGGGATTCCCATTCCGCAAGCCCCCAAATCACCTAGCCCGAGAATTCGTTCTCCATCCGTCACAACGATTGCCCTCACATCCGGCTCGGGCCAGTTCCTCAAAACTTCGTACACGTGCCCGCGGTCGTTAATAGTTACAAACAGACCACGTGCTCTTCGGAAAATCAGTCCAAATTTCTGACAAGCCAAACCCACCGTCGGCGTGTACACAATCGGCATCATCTCCTCGATGTCCTCGGTGAGCAGTCGGTAGAAGAGTTTCTCGTTGCGATCGTGCAGCTCGACCATGTAGACGTACTTGTTCAGATCATCCTGGTAGCCGGAGAAGCTCAGCCGGCAAATTTGCAGCTGTTCAGCGAGGGTTTTGATCCTGGCCGGGAGCAGTCCATGGATTCCGAGCGACTGGCGCTCTTCCAGAGTGAAGGCGAGGCCCTTGTTCAACCGAGCGTCCCGCAGATGGTCGATACCTCGGACCTGACTCGGCGTGATGATGCTTCCGTTCGTTTCGTAGTAGAATCGATGGGTGCTCTGAAAGGGGATTCTTGTTTTCTGGGCGAACAACGTGGAAATCCGGCGAGATGATCTTGAGCTGCGATGGAATTGAAATTTTAGATTGCTGAAGAGGATTTACAAGGGATAATTTTACTTACAGAAGCATCCCGAAAGGCATTGTTTGAATGAGTTACGAAAATTTAGTCGTTGTCTATATTCTGTATGTTGCTGTTCATAATAGAAAGAGGTTTGTTCTGAAACTTCGAGCCTATGTTCTGGAAAATGTGGCTACTTTGTTGAATTCGTTTTTAATTAAATATGTCCAGGTCCCAAATCTAGCAATGTTATAACCTTATAATCATGTATTTGAGAAAAACTACGTCAAGATGATTGGGTTTCTAGCAGCAGCTGATCGCAAAGCAAATCTCCTAATTCCTCCAGCCGTTGCATCTGGCTCGGCTTACCCAAATACTAACCCGATCCTATCGAGAATAAAGCTCCCTGAAGTCAAACTGCCTTTCTTCGATGGCATAATTACAGATTGGCTATCCTATCGAGACTCGTTCAAGAGTCTTACATCATTATCACGTGATATACGCTGCCTTGCAATGAGCACTCATACATCTAGTTTTCACTGGAAATCCTATGTATGAGTGCTCATTGCAAGACAGCCTATATTACGTGATATACACCCCTATTCTGTATTTCTTTCGAACGAAATTCTCATACAAAAAAATATTTTTTTGTATGAGAATTTCGTTCGAAACGAAATACAGAATAGGGGTGATAGGCTGTAATGTGAACGGGGTATTACGCATTCAAACCCTAATACCCTGTTCACATTACAGCGTATATCACGTGATAGACGCTGTCTTGCAATGAACACTCATACATCTAGTTTTCACTGGAAATCCTATGTATGAGTGCTCATTGCAAGACAGCCTATATTACGTGATATACGCTGTAATGTGAACGGGGTATAATTTGCCTGACGTTGACAAACATTCCAACCTTGTAGGATCTCTGACGAATGAAGGCAAACGTATCGTGGAGTCGATCGATTTTGCCAACAAAAAGCTAGTGGTCAAAACGTACCTAGATTCGCTTTTCTCGATAGAACCTGTCAAACGGGAATGCTATGACTCACTAGTGCGACTGATAGATGGTTTTGAACGCAACCTGAAGATGTTTCAAAAGATGGAAATAGACAGTGAGAGATGGAGTGTTCTATTGGCACACATGGTCTACTCTCGCCTGGATTCATCCACCCTGAAGCAGTGGGAGAATCAATATAAGTCAACCTATGTTCCGGAATACAAAAATCTCATCAAGTTGTTGAGAAGTCATGCCATGGTCCTCCAGTCAACCTCACCTGCGAAATCTCACAACTCCGATACCCCACCGTCCGGTCGAACGCAAAAACCGAAAATTAGTAACATCCATTCGGTCGTAAGTTCCTCATCGAAACCTTGCCCATTTTGCAAGCAGATATTTCACTCTGTCTTCAAGTGCGATGCATGTCGTCTCAGAAAGGTATGAGCTAGTGAAACGGAAGGCTCTCTGTATCAATTGCCTTTCTCCTGATCACCAGGTTAAAAGCTGTCCATCCAGTGCGTGTCGTGTTTGTGGCCAAAAACACCACACAATGCTTCACCAACAAAATAGTAATCACAATCCAAGCCAACTACAAGCTTCAAAGCCAATTCAAAGTCCACCCAATTCCAAACAAACGCAGAAGCGCTCAAGGTGTTCCGAAGCTTTAGTGAAGATCATCGATTCCAACGATTCCTACTGTGGGCCAGAGCTCTGCTTGATCCGGCCTTGCAGCTCAATGTTATCTCCGAACATCTCGTTCAACGGTTGCATACTCGAAAGATTAAGGATCATCATATCATCGGTGGCATCGGGAGATCTACGACTGTGTCTACTCACTCTGTCCTCCTCAGCATTCGTTCCCATTGCACCGATTTCAGTGTAGACTTGAAGTTCCATATCCTCAGCGAAATAAAAAAAAATCGTCTTTGCAGATCCAAAGTTCCACGAGCCAACATCTGTAGACATGATGATCGGAATGGAGATTTACTACGATCTTCTCCTAGAAGGTTTCTTGAAACTGGGTCCATGAAAACCGGTGCTGCAGAAACCCTTGCTCGGCTGGGTCGTCTCAGGAAGAGTTGGATTGAACCAACCGCCAAATGTGGTTGCTCATGTGTGCAGTACTCAAGCGGTAGAGTTCGATCAGTTAGCCAGATTTTGGGAGATAGATAGATAGATAGAGAATCGTCCTGCGAAGCTCATTTTGCTGCTACTACGACTAGAGACCATAGTGGTCGTTTCGTGGTTACTCTGCCAAAAAAGCCTGAGGTCCTACAACAGCTTGTAAACTCGTACCCTATCACTAAACACCGGCTCCTTTCGCTAAGTCGCCGCCTCGAAGCGAACCTTTTGCTCAAATCAGCTTACTCGGAGTCCATACAAGAATATCTCCACTTGGGGCACATGGAAGAAGTAACTGATGTTGTCCACGTCCACTTCCTTCTACCCTGCGCATCATTGCATCGTACGTCCGGACAGTCTCACCACTAAACTTCGTGTTGTGTTCAACGCGTCTTGTGCCACCGATACTGAAATCTCTCTGAACGACGCTTTGATGGTGGGACCGGTAGTGCAAGAGGACCTTGTCTGCATCACCATGCGATTTCGTGTGCCGAGATACGCCATAATTTCCGACGTAGAAGAAATGTACCGTCAGATCTGGGTATATTTTCTCGACTGCCTTCTCCAGCAAATTCTGTGGCTAGACAAACCTGATGGACCTATCCGAATCTTCCAGCTCAAAACAGTCACCTACGGGACCTCTGCCACACCCTATCTCGCCACGATGTGCAAGAAGGAAAGGTGCTATGCAGTCAACTGCTTCAGCTTCTCCAATCAGCTGGGTTCAGTCTTTGTAAATGGGCTTCAAACTCACCGGAAATACTCGGTCACATCCCAGCACATCTTCGAGACGAACGCTCGGTACTCGACCTTCCGTCAAAACTCTGGGATTCAAGTGGACCTCCGCCTCTGACGAACTCGGGTTCCACGTACCAAAATGGAATCTACCTTTCAGATTCCGCTCGCCTGTACGACCCTCTGGGACTCGTAGGGCCCGTCATTGTACTTGCCAAGTGCTTCATGCAGAAATTCTGGGCGAACAAGAAGACTTGGGACGAACCATTGGAAGAAGAGCTCCAACAACGCTGGGTGCAGTTTTGGAACGAATTAACAGCGGTAGAAACAATCGGTGTTCCACGTTGGGTGATACCAATTCCACAACCAGTCGTCATAGAGCCAGATGGATTCATACGAGCATACGGTGCCTACATCTATCTCCGTGTGGTGTCACCCAGTGGAGAAATATCCGTACACTTCCTCACCTCCAAATCAAAGGTCGCTCCGCTGGGAAACAGCAAAAATCAAAAGAAGATAAGTCTTCCACGTCTGGAACTTTCTGGTGCATTGCTTCTCAGCCACCTCTTCCAGAAACTCCAGCACAGTTTTAATATGGATCTAAAGTGCTTCTACTGGGTTGACTTCACCATCTTACTACATTGGTTAGCTGGAACACCATCACGATGAAAGACGTTTGTAGCAAACAGGGTCTCCGAAATACAGCATATCACTACGCGTGGCAATTGGGGACACGTTGCTGGACTAGAAATTCCGGCGGACATAATCTCCCGTAGAATGCTACCTACACAATTAAAGGATCTGGATATCTGGTGGCATGGTCCAACCTAGCTCAGACAAACTTCAAGGTTTTGGCCATCACACATTCGTACGGCTGACGATAAATTTCTGTCCGAGGACCTCGAGGAACGATCGATCGCCCGTTCAGCTCCAACCTCCAAACCCCATACTCAGTCATACGATCATCGCTATTTCGTCTGCTGGCCTCCCGAATAGAAATTGTAATGTAGGAAACATCAGCAGACATCTTCAATACATTCAATTTTAACGTGTATGGCTGTACCCTTAATGTATTCAGACTTCAGTGTGACGTCCAAGTACATAAAAATACATTAGCCTCAAACGTTACATCAGAATCAAACGTCTTGACGATGTAAAATTTGACATCAGAATACATCCAATGACAACATAACCAAACGTTACATTAGAATCAAACTTCATCATTACTTACGAAGATTTAGCCATAATTGCAAGCCTGCTAACCGACAGGATCAAATGAAGGGATTTCTATTGTAACCCTCGTCTATAGGGTGACAATTAATAACCCACCCTTTTAACGTGTTTGCCACGAGCGTGTGCCTTGTCTGTAATGATTTGTTTTTGTTTTGGTCGCACGCTCGGCAACATACTCACCACTGCTTTATTTGTAAATATTTTAATTTGTTATTTTCATAGTAGATTTTATTCGTGTAGGCATGTTTTTAGGATTAGAATATAGTGTGAAAATGATCGTTTTAAATTGTCTCGCGTCTTGAATAAAGTTAGGTCCCGTTTCTCCTCCCGCTGCAAAAGAAGGCGAAAAACATAAGCAGCAGAACATTAGACCGCGGTTGCAGGAGAACGGTGATTATCAGCTAGTACGGAAAAGGAGGAGAAAGTAACGAACCACGGTTGGAATACGACGCGTGTTATTTGCCCCGTCCGTTTTAGTGAAAACGTGAAGTTGGAGTGCCGTTTTCGTGGCGTGTGTTCCCTGGAGGGATAATTCCCAGCATCGTCGAGTGGAAGTGACGTTGTTTCCTCGAAAAGTGCCGTGGTTCGGGAGCTGAAGTGAAGGGTGTCGGATCGCCGCCAAGGGAAGCTAAATTTCGAGGATCTTTCCGCTTCCTGGCTAAACCCCAAGGATCCCCGAACACCCACCGTCCTCACTGCGGTGGCTCAGCCATTAAAGCCAGTGTCGCCACCGCAGTTAAGAGCCAAGGAGGGACGAAGCAGGCCGAACCGAAGGAGCGTTCACCTGGGTAGTGCACTGCGGTGACTACCGGGACCATCTACGGCGAGTAGTTGGTTCGGTGATTCGTCACCATCGTCGCCGGGGGTGTGGGTTCTGATAAAGGAGCCTTGCTCATCCCCCCGTTAAACGCCAAGGACCGCTGCTACGCAGCTTAAGTTGAGGAGAAAACGCTCGGCACAGATCGTGTCTCAACCAAGCAACCTACACTCTCGTTCGCTTCCCTCATGCCGAGTTTTTTTCCGAACGATCTATACGAGCCATTCGTTCCGATGGACAAGTCAAGCCAGTCGGCGCCGGTTAAAGAAAACTAACTTTCAACAACACTCAGTTGTTGAAAGTTAGTTTTCTTTAAAGTAATTGATAGATTAGGATCATAGTTTACTGTAAACATGCAAGGAGTAGGTAAATCATATCATTTGAATCAACACCAATGATTTTTTACACTTAAAGTCCGAGCAGGCATTTCTCACTTCATTTCTGCAACGCAAAATCAAATGCAGTTTATTACTAGAATTAAAATCTGCATTTTTTTAACATATTTATAAAAAGCTTAAACTCTATTGTATCGACTGCTTCAAACAGAACTATGTTTCGTCAACTCTGTGCAAAGTTATTAACAAATGAGCAGCTCGTGAGCAAAACTGTGTATGCCAAGCATGACTGCGAGTACGCAACCTGGCGCGGAAGGTAGTTCATGATTGTCTAAAGTGATTTCGCTGCAAACCCACTGCTCTCGAAGAGGTCATGAGCGATCTACCAGCTGAACGCGTCACACCAAGGCTTCCGTTCTTCAACACTGGTGTCGATTATAGATACTATAGACTCCATAGATAAGCGGAGGCACAAAAGGTTGTTTTGGCAACTCTGAAAAACAAATGATCTTACTGGCATCCGTGAAAAAAGTTCATGCCATCATAGAACTCTTCGTTGGGCAGTTTTGTTTTGTTTCGTGCGCAAAAGTTCAAATTGAAGTGCAAAGCAAATCTTTGCAACAATGAACCGAGGAATGGTTTGCTTCATCTTTCGTTCTTCCGTTGTCCGCGAAATAAATCGAAATGTGGAGTGTGGAAAGCGTTTTGTGCTCATAATATTACAATACTTCTCCCTCAAACAACACTATGATGACGTCATGCTCGTTTGGCTACAATAACTGACAGTTCGTTTGGCTACATTATACTTTGCCTCCGCTTATCTATGGAATCTTTAGTATCTATAGCCAAGATTGGAAGTTATTCCAATCAAGGGGGGGAGGTGGCTGTCAAATACGAACAATCGTCGCCTACCTCGCATAACTGGTGCCAAACGTAAACAAGCCATAAGAAACCTACAGCGTTTGTTTACGTTTGGAACCAGTTTCATACAAGATGATCAGTAGGCTGATTTGACAGTACCCAATATACCCAATAATTTGGCTAAATTTACCCAATAATTTGGCTAAATTAAGATCCTTTCGATTATAAGCGCTTCGTCTTGCTAATAAGAAAGCTTTTTCGATGGTGTCAACTGATTCATTGTCTGATAATGCGACAGTTCGCATCGCGCTCCCTTTCCGAGTGGATCTATTTGCTTTTTGCAGAAGGAAGTTTTACTACTACCTAAAGCTACAACAAATTTAAACAGCCCTTTTCATTGCTCAATATACCTGTAAATGTTCTACCTTGTTCGACTCTTGTTCCTCTTCGATCCTTGTTTGGACCCTACCCGAGGTAATCCTTCTTGGATATCGATTTGAAAAATTCCTCTTCAATCCTTCAGATTCTTATAGTACTCTGCTTGGAAGTCAATTTGGATAAAAATTTACTGCCGCCATGGCACCTAAGCGCAAAAGGGCAATCTCTTGATTCCCCTTCTGATGAAATTAATTTGAGCAATCAATTTGATTTGCTCACAGATGATGAGAATGATCTATCATCTAGGAAAAATTCTAGTAAACTTTCCCGGCTTAATGCCAAGAAGGAAAAGATTCCCCCTATTGTGATAACCACTTCCGATTTCCATTCTCTTCGCACGGAACTTTTGATCTTCGTGTCTTCACTAGAAATTGGTCGTCGGACGTTGAACGGATTCAAACGTCTTCTCCAGTATCTTAATGATAAGCAACACAATTTTTTTACTTACGACACCAAAACTGAACGTCTGTACAAGGTTGTCTTGAAATGTCTGCCTAGTGTTGAAACCCTGGATCAGATCAAAGATGAACTGGCAAAATTACTTGGAGTTGTGCCAGTCCATGTAATCAAAATAAAAATGAAGTCCCTTCCTGACGATTCACGCAACGGGATTTCTAATGATTTTTATTTAGTTCACTTCAAGTCTAGTGAACAAACAACCTTTAAGGCCTTAGAAAAAAGCTAGCCTTATGCTTCATGTCTGAGTGAAGTGGTAACACTTCACCTCAGTTGCCAGGGATGGGGACACAGAACCAAAAATTGCTACATGCCAGCTAAATGCATGAATTGTGGTGATTCGTCTCACGCAAAAGACGACTGTCCTGTGAAGGAAGACCCTAAAAAAATTAAATGTTCAAATTGTGGTGAAAACCACAAATCCAATTTTCGGGAATGTAAGACTCGCAAAGCGATCCTACAATCTCCTTCTAAGCGACAGGTACAGATTCCTCTGCTGTTAAGCATTCCGCTAACAAACCAATTTCATTACTTCAATACATCGATGAGCTTCGTGGCCACAATCTTCAACTCATAATCAATACCGTGTGATCATCCCTTCCACCACCAAAAGAAAACTCACAACCCAAAGCTAAGGTAACACAATTTTATTGTAGTCACAAATCGGGGCTGGTTGAATGGTTCAACCTTTCTATTTTTCCACATTTTCTCTTTCTTTCTCTTAACATAAATGTCCTAGTTGGTTTCAGTACGAATTAAAAACAAGAATGAATTGACGTTTCGTCAATTGTTAAAATTTGATAACACTGTTGTGCAGCTTCCATTTCGCTGGCACCGTTTATAACTTATCTACGCGCCTACTGTGTGGTCGGCCTACTATTGAAAAGTGCTGTTTGCTCGTAACGGGTTGCTTGGTTCTATTGCAGTGCTTATAAATTTCAAACTCCTATTTAGTCAGGGCTGCTTTTGCTTCATTGAGGAACATCAATCAATCAATCAATTTATATTTGGTAGAGGATTTTTCGGCTACCATTGAGAACGAATTCTATTCTAGTGGGTTAATGTTAATCGGCATTGGTATCACATTGAACGTAGTTACGAATGAGTTAGGTTGATAAAAAAAATCAAGGAAAATCATGTTTGCTTCATTTGAGCTAGCTAAAAGTAGTCATTTTTAGCTATGACAGCTTGAGATAACCTGCTTTCATCCGTCTGGTAGATGTAGGCAATAAATAAGGATTGAGAAAGGAACAGGATACAGTGTAGATGGATGAAAGAAATAAATACTGGCTGCGCTTAGATCGGCGTTCGCTCCTATGCCTGCAGCTTGGTTGGGGTGATGGGGCGGGTTGGGGTGACTTCCTGCTGTGGGGGCCACTTCCAGGTCACGGGCATGGCACATTCGTAGTTGAAGTTGTACAAATGGGACTTGATGTAGGCCAGCTTGTCCTGTGGCTCGGGATATGTCGAAGCCAGTCCTAGAATGGGAATTAACGTGTCAAATGTTTGAATCAGAACCTACAGGAGAGCGGCAGACGAACGAACCTTTCTCATAGGCATACTTGGTCACTCCGACGGCAATGTTAAGCGAACATTCTTGAATGGAGCCCAGCGGTGGGTAGAGTGAGCCCTTGTCTAGATCTGCCTGCGAAACATGGTCCGCAACGGATTGGGCAGCGATCAGGAAAATATCCTCTGGGATGTGGTGCGTTCCAGTGACGATCACACCCAGTGCAACGCCAGGGAAGATGTAGGCATTGTTGCCTTGACCGGGGTGGAACGTCTTACCACCGTATTGCACCGGTGGGAATGGAGATCCCGATGAGAAAATGCATCGACCCTGAAATAAAAAGAATTTGATATAAATTTGAATTCGATCCATTAAAATTTCACCCTTTTTTACCTCAGTATTCTCGTAGGCAGCTTGCGCGGTACATTCGGCCTTGGAAGTCGGGTTCGACAAGGCAAAGATGATCGGGCGTTCATTGTTTTTGCCCATGGTTTGCAGAATCTCCGGCGTAAAGGCACCTCCTGCAGCCGAAGCACCAATCAGAACCGACGGCTTAACTTCCTTGACGACATCGGCAAAGACCTTCATTACACGGTGATCCTTGGCGTAGAATGCCTTGTGGCCACCCAGTCGGCCTTCCGGACGTCCCTTGGCCAACAGACCATCAATGTCAAACAACCAGATCTTGTCACGAGCTTCCTGCAGTCCACACCCTTCCGCTTGCATAGCCTTAACCACCAAATCCGCAATACCGATGGCAGCTTCTCCAGCTCCCAGGAACACGAAGCTATTCTCCGAGATCTTCTTTCCCGTAACCCGCTTCGAAGCCAGTAGACCAGCTACTGCAACCGAAGCCGTTCCCTGGATATCGTCATTGAACGTACAGTACGTGTCACGATATTTGTCCAAAAACCGGAACGCATTATGATTACCAAAGTCCTCGAACTGGATCAACGTATTCTGACCGTATCGTTTCACGACCGCCTCCATGAATTCATCGATAAACTCGTCGTACTCCTTGCCTTCAACGCGCTTCTGCCTAAGCCCAACATACAAGGGGTCCTCCAACAGGGTCTGGTTATTGGTGCCAACATCAATCACAATTGGCAGACACTGGTGTGGTGGAATGCCAGCCAGGGCAGTATACAAAGCGAGCTTACCAACCGGAATACCCATTCCGCAAGCTCCCAAATCTCCCAAACCGAGAATACGCTCTCCGTCTGTCACGACAATTGCCCGCACGTCATGTTCCGGCCAATTGCGCAGAACTTCGTACACGAATCCGCGATCGTTGATCGTGACGAACAAACCGCGAGGTCGACGGTAGATCAACCCAAACTTCTGACAGGCCAAACCCACGGTGGGCGTGTACACGATCGGCATCATCTTCTCGACATCCTCGGAGATCAACCGGAAGAACAGCTTCTCATTACGGTCCTGGAGATCGACCAGGTACAGGTACCTGTTGAGATCCTCCTGGTAGCGTGAGATCGAAATTCGGCACAGTTCCAGTTGCTCCTCCTGGGACTTGAACCGCGCCGGTTGCAGTCCATGGATGCCCAGTGTCTGTCGCTCCTCCAGGGTGAAAGCTAGGCCCTTGTTCAACCGAGGGTCACGCAGATGGTCGATACCTTGCACCATCGACGGAACGATGATGTCGCCGGTAACTTCATGGTAGTCCCGCGTTTGCTGCTTCTGGACGGCGGCAGTGATCGCGGCCTTCGTTAGGGACTTCTTTGGCGACGCAGTGGCAGCCGAGATCGTCTTCAGGGCAGTCGACGCGCCACTTGCTCTGCAATGATAATAAACGGGAAGGCCAATTTAGATAACGAACTAGATATATACACGGCTTAAATGGTGTCACTCTGCTGCCACCTGTTTGGCATACGAGATTGTAGTTGAATTCGCAGCAACAATGTTCGTACAACGTGATGTGGGCCAAATAAGATCTAAATTTATCGCCCTGATTGAATTGAACCGAGTGGGAAGATGGGGGGTAAAAATAGGGCACTTTGACGATGAGCTAATCGAATATTTGTATGTGCTAATGTGCTTTACAAGCAGTGTAGGGCAAGTTCGAGGTCAACAGGCGACTTACTGAGGCGGATTGACTCGTTTTGGGTTTGGTTTTGATGACATGATTTGATTTTAAACCGGTGTTGTTGTAAGATGATTATTTTAGGCAGCATTTATCCTTCCCTTTGATTATAGGCATAGCGGTACAACAGTACGTATCTACACTCATAAAATAAATCACGTAACCAGATAAAAGTATCCATGTGAATTTCATATAACTTGGAAATTGCACCATTAAATCACCTGAACGTTATGTGTATATGATTTCTCATATAGAATTTCTTATGCTTTGTGATATTCAGATAAATGTCATTATTTTTGTTATTGGAAAAATATTATGTGCGTGCCTAATAGAAGCTAAGTGAAAACTTTTTTCAGTGTAGTCTTAACACTTATTAATTCGACAGTGAGCATTCATAAGGGTGAATACGCGATGATCGATTCTCTTCATCGATTTTCTCTTTGCATTGCTACAGCTAGGCGAAACAATTTTCTAGAATTTGTTCAATGCAGAGTAGTAACAGGTTGTATTGGCTAGCAAAAGCAACAGCAAACGCACCGAGAAACGTTAAATCTAGCGAGTTATTAACAAAAGAGAAAATCGACGAAGAGAATCGATCATCGCGTATAGGCCCTTATGCATGCTTACTGTCGAATTATTACCGACGTCTACAGCAGAACGTTCTTTAATATTTCGACCCTCATTTTTAAAGCTGTTTAACTAAATTCAAGCAGAATGCATAAACGCATTTTTATGTACTCGGTTTTGAATTTTAGAAAATTAATGACGTCCCCTTTGTGTATGCGTATGTGTATTCATTTCAACACCCACTGACCGGCAGTGGTAATATGGAAGAAATATGATTATTATAATCCTTGAATTGACAATTGAAAGCAACTTTAGTCCGGGAGTTAGAAAGTGATAGCTCTACTGCAGATCCAGCAACACATTTCAGAATGCCTGGTAGTTCATGTCCATTCCGAGGCCACTTTCACATACAATAAGCCTCGCATGTAAACACTACCGTTATCATATGGATAACGGTACTGCAAACACAATTCCAGCACAATCCGGCACGTGTTTAGTAGGAGGTATTTGGAAATAGGCATTTATAATTTATTTACAATCAGATAGATCCCACCAAACTCCGTCTCCGACCGGTTTGTTCACTAGCGGTAATCTTAAAAACTCTGTCGGTTCTAATTTTATAAATAACCAATCACACGCGAAATTATTGAAAAAGTTTCCGGGAGTGCAAAATCCAATACACTTTTCACACTAATAGCGAAATCGTTTATTAATCAGTTCCAACCTGGATCGGGTATCAAGATTGGGTCTGCTTGATTTCTGACAAACGGCAGTTTGCCCGTTTGTTTTAAAAACCTAGCTCAGGTTGAGGTTCACACTGACCAAAAGTTCGGTTTCTGATAATAAACGAATTCGCTATAAATTTTCAGTAAACACTAAGTAAAAATCTCGGAAAATAAGCAGCAGCAATCAAAACACACGTCAGTTCCAACGCACGGCCTACCTCGAACCTTCGGTATAAACTGGACTAGATTGTCATGCCGTTCGCAATCTTCTTCTTATTCTTCTTCTTCTTCTTCTTCTTCTTCTTCTTCTTCGCATTTCAAGCTTATTGCATATCGCATATTAGCTTATTGCGTGCTCTCAACTTAGTGTTCTAGATTCACTTCCACAGTTATTAATTGAGAGCTTTCGATGCCTGTACCATTTTTGCATTGGTATAATTGTGTGGCAAGTCCAATCGGTCCAATCATACTTCTATGCCCAGTAGACTGATGCAAAATTTGAAATTTTCGCTCCACAGTGCTCAAACGGTTTCACTTCAGGTCCTGATTAGCCTCCCAAAATTTAAACTCATTTGATAAGAAACAGACTTGGCACAAACTATTCGAAGTTTATATGGAAATTACTATGGGAAAACCAAAATTGTTGTTCATTGTCTTCTATCCATTTTTCATATTGCTTTTTCAAAAATTTATGTAACTATTCTTACGGGAAATTTTCTAAGCTACAACTTTGCGGAATATCGTTTTTCAGCCAAATGTCAAACTAAATTGCTATTAATTATTTAATAGATTGATAATCTTATGGCATGATCAAGCAGCTGTTCTGTGGGCAACACTGTATTCTGCAGTGAGACATAGTAGCCATGATTTTTTTGACCTATTCAACGCCCCAGAAACACCAATTTTGCTTGCTGAACAGTTGAATGAGCATAATCATTAGACATCAGTGACTTGAATCATTAATAACTTTTGTTCCTTACATTTAATTGAAAAGTAGTTTTCAACAAAGTTGTAGCTGAGAAAATTTTCTACAATCACTGTTATCATTTTTAAAAGCATGATGATGTGGTGAATTTTTAGATAGATATGAACAAAAACATAAGTTTTCCCATAGTAATTCCCATATAAACATGAAATGGTTTGTGCCAAGTCAGTTTCTTACTAAAGTAGTTCAAATTTTGGGAGGCTGAGAAGGACCCAATTTGGGACCGTTTAAGCGCTGTGGAGCAAAAATTTCAAATTTTGCATCAGTCTAATGCCCAGGGAAGTCGAGAAATTTTCCAATCCGAAAAATTCCTAGACCGAACCGGGAATTGAACCCAGCCACCTCCAGCATGGTCTTGCTTTGTAGCTGCGCCTTTACCGACTGAGCTAAGGGGCCTCCCCCTTAGCTATGTTGGTAAGGTATGTTCGCTGTGCTGTTGTATTTTATAAGGACTGTTTCAATTTGAAACTAGACCAGAAACGCACCTCTCGCAATGCTGAGTTGCAGTTTCATTATTCGAGCACTATTTTGCACCAGATTTGCAACTGCTCGACTATTCTGTTTTATTTCTGAGCGAGTTTGAAACACGAATGGAACTATGTTTCAAATTTCTTTGGATGTATTTAAAGATGTTTCGAAGAGCTTCACAAAAAAAAAAACGGAGAACTTCATAGAGAATAGTAAAGTTTATGGAACATGATGATTACAAACATCTTTTAAAACTGTGCGTTGCGCTGATGTGTTGCAGTTTTATTTTTGACAGTTTCAAATTATAGAATTGTCGAGTAGTTTAAAACAATGTTTAAACTCAGCATTGCGAACGGCCTCAGGATACAGTCATTTTCAAGAACTTAAGGTCCGTTTAGACTATCTGATTTCATGGTCTGATTTTGACCGCCGCCGCAATGAAAAATCTGCTCAAATTTACTTTCGACACTTATTGTCGAACCCCCCTGTTTGCTGGTGTTCACACTGCTTGCACATGCCAAAAGAACTGTCAATTTAGATTTCAAAACAAAACTGTATCAGGAATCGCCGGCGCCGGTGGTGTAGTGGTAAGCGTGACTGCTTTCTCACACCCCAATGGGTCTGGGTTCAATCCCAGCCGAGGTTGGTGGGATTTTTCTGCGGCATAAAAATCTCTGGTCACGTCTTCCTTCGGAAGGGAAGTAAAGCCGTTGGTCCCGGCCCATGTGCTGTTGAATGGGTGCGATATCCTACGCAGGTGTGGAAGCTGCCTTCCTGCACATTCGATTGCCGTAAATGGATGGCAATCGATGTCCGTCGGTTATTGGCACTATATTGCGGAACAGAGACCGACGTTAGATAAAGGAATGAAGAAGAAGAAGAAGAAGTATCAGGAATCAAAAGTAAATACTTCCATTATGACCGGAAAATTGCTCTAGCTTCGGCAAGCGTATTTGCTTTTATTATTTTAAATAAAATGAGAAGGAGAAGATGAACTTTGTGGAGTAGGAAATGGTTGCTCAGGACGAACACTGGCAGGGACCTGGCTCATCTTGTCCTTCAAGAGCTGCGATATGAAGATGAAAATGGATTTCAAAACTTCGACAGGATGTTGATACTAACTTTCGACAAGCTAGTGGGAAAAGTTCTCTGAAGATCTACTGATTTGTTGAGTTCTGAAAATTTCTGTTAAGAACTCAATTCTGCATATTTCTTTGAAGACCTTCGGACGTCCTTGAAGTTTTGTTTCTACACTCCGGTAAAATATATTAAAAGATCAACAAAATTTCTCGGTAGTTCTACAGACGTCTTTGAAGATCTGTGTGTTCTTCAGAAGTTCTGCATATTTTCCTAAAAATGTACAAAGTTCCTGAATCCTTGAATATTTAAGATCCTCAAAGGTCAAAAATTATCTCTTATGTTTGTAATACTCTCAATTGTATAATTAATAATTAACACAGTTTTACTGCTTAATCCAACAACATAGTTTTATTCCACTTCTTATGCACACACCTGAACCTATGGGTCGACTCCAGGTACTAACTCTAACGTAGCATACATATGCGAGGCCCGTACTCGGCACCACAATGTTTGCCAAATTTCTAATAATTTACGAACTTCTCGAAAGTTCTGCAATTTTCTCTGTAGATTTTCATGATTCTGCAAATATCTCTGAACATCTTTACTAATTTTAATGAAGTTGCGCAAATACTTCTAAAGATCGGCGAACTTACATGAAGTTCTGTAAATTTCTCTTAAAATCCAAGAACCAAAATAAAATTCTGAAAATTTATTTAAACATCTGCAGATTTTTCAGTAGATTTACGATCTACCCTCTGAAATTTTCCAAAGATCCTAAAATTTCTTACAGATGCTGTAAAGTATTCTGATGTACTGTATTTCTGCTCTAAAGATCCACGAACTGCCCTTATGTTCAATAAATTTCTCAG